CCGGGAGCGCCGGGCACGCCGCCGCGGCCATGACCAAGCTGGGCTTCCTGCGCCTCTCCTACGAGAAGCAGGACACGCTGCTCAAGCTGCTCATCCTCTCCATGGCGGCCGTGCTGTGTGGGTGCCACCCCGGTGCCACCCCGGTGCCACCCGGTGCCACCCGGCGCCACCCTCACGCCGCCCCCCGCTCTGCCCGCAGCCTTCTCCACGCGCCTCTTCTCCGTGCTGCGCTTCGAGAGCGTCATCCACGAGTTCGACCCGTGAGTGCCGCCCCATAGCACCCCATAGCGCCCCACGGCGCCCCGCGGCGCCCCACGGCACCCTCGCCGCCCCCCGCAGGTACTTCAACTACCGCACCACGCGCTTCCTGGCCGAGGAAGGCTTCTACAAGTTCCACAACTGGTTCGACGACCGCGCCTGGTACCCGCTGGGCCGCATCATCGGCGGCACCATCTACCCGGGTGAGCGCCGGGGACACGCGGGTGCCGGGGTGCCCCCGTGGGCGCCCCCCGAGCCGGCGGCCTCCCCCCGCAGGCCTCATGCTCACCTCGGCGGCCATCTACCACGCGCTGCACTTCTTCCACGTCACCATCGACATCCGCAACGTGTGCGTCTTCCTGGCGCCGCTCTTCTCCTCCTTCACCACCGTGGTCACCTACCACCTCACCAAGGAGCTCAAGGTGCCCGCGGCGGCGGCGYTCCCGGCGCGTCCCGCCTTCCCGGGCCGCCCGTGACGCCGGGAATGTCCCCGGAACAGGACGCGGGCGCCGGGCTGCTGGCCGCTGCCATGATCGCCGTGGTGCCCGGCTACATCTCCCGCTCCGTGGCCGGCTCCTACGACAACGAGGGTGAGGAGCGCGGCAGCGCGGGCACCCCGGGCGCCGCGGGACCCCGCGCCCACCGCCCCCGTGCCCCCCGCAGGCATCGCCATCTTCTGCATGCTGCTCACCTACTACCTGTGGGTGAAGGCGGTGAAGACGGGCTCCATTTTCTGGGCGGCCACGTGCGCCCTCGCCTACTTCTACATGGTAAAGGGCGACGCCGGGTGCTGGGCGCTCGGGCGGCGCCGGCGCCGCTCAACGCCGCCCCGCGCAGGTCTCCTCCTGGGGCGGCTACGTCTTCCTCATCAACCTCATCCCGCTGCACGTGCTGGTGCTCATGCTCACGGGCCGCTTCTCGCACCGCATCTAYGTCGCCTACTGCACCGTCTACTGCCTCGGCACCATCCTCTCCATGCAGATCTCCTTCGTGGGCTTCCAGGTGGGGCGCCGCGGGGCCGCAGGGCGCGTTTTGGGGGGGACATGACACCCATACGCGCGCCCACCCGCAGCCCGTCCTCTCCTCGGAGCACATGGCGGCGCTGGGCGTCTTCGGCCTGTGCCAGATCCACGGCGCCGTGGATTATCTCCGGAGCCGCCTCAGCGCGCAGCACTTCGAGGTGCTCTTCCGCAGCGTCATCTCGCTGGCGGGCGCCGCGCTGCTGGCCGCCGGCGCCGCGCTCATGCTCACAGGTGGGTGCCCCCCCGGCCGCGGCGCCCGCGCGGGTCCGGGGCGCCCTTGCCACCGGCGCCCGCCCCGCAGGCAAGATCTCGCCCTGGACGGGCCGCTTCTACTCGCTGCTCGACCCGTCCTACGCCAAGAACAACATCCCCATCATCGCCTCCGTGTCCGAGCACCAGCCCACCACCTGGTCCTCCTACTACTTCGACCTGCAGCTGCTCGTCTTCATGTTCCCAGGTTTGGCGGGGGACGTGGGGGGCGCGTGGGGGGCGCTGGGGGCACCCGTGGGTGCTCAGCGCGCGCCCTGCCCGCGCAGTGGGGCTCTACTACTGCTTCAGCCACCTCTCGGACGCCCGCATCTTCATCATCATGTACGGCGTCACCAGCATGTACTTCTCGGCCGTCATGGTGAGCGCGCGCGCGCTCGGGGCGCCCCGAGGTGCCCGGGGGTGCGCAGGGTGCTCCCAGGTGCCCAGGGGTGCTCGGGGACCCTCTCATGTGCCCGGGGGTGCTCCAATGTGCCCTGGGGTGCTCAGGGGGCTCCTTTGTTCCCCGGGGTCCCTCGGGGCCCCTCTGCC